AATTCATTAAAAAAACAATTGGATGAACAAATCCAGTTGGTTTTAACATCTCAAGTATTACCTAAATGGGTAAAATATAACCTACTCTGTGGTGAAAGGAAAATGGGTTTTCAATGTTGTTGGCAAGATAGGGGCCAACTTTCTTTTCTCTTTTTTGAAAAGAAGGTGCAAAGTTCTTTTCTGCAAATTTAATGTGCACCGATTCATAGTATGAGTTGTTCAGCAATAAATGTCATTCTAGATTCGTCTCTTGTAAAGGCCAATAATTATACCCGTTACTCATAGAGTAAAAGGGTATATTGTATTCGTGCAAAAGTATGTAACAGCTAGAAGGAAGCATTTCCGACCCTATAATGTATATATATTCTTGATCAGGATCACTAGCCGAGTTGATCTAGCCATGTCCGTCTGTCCGTCTGTCTGTCTGTATGAACGCTGAGATCTCGGAAACTATAAAAGCTAGAAGATTGTAATTTTGCATGCAGATTCTAGGAGCTCCTACGCAGCGCAAGTTTGTTTCAAACGGGTGCCACGCCCGCTCTAACGCCCACAATCGCTTATATACCATTTTAAAAATTTCAATATTTTGGAAAAGTAAAAATGCAGTTTTATTGTGTTTATCAATACCTATCGAAATGTAGAAAAAAATTTTTTAATCGGACCATTCGTTAAAAAGTTACGGCGGATTAGCTGAGTAACGGGTATCTGATAGTCGGGGCACCCGACTATAGCGTTCTCTCTTGTTTTATTTTATTTTTGATTTAAAGAACCTACTACTTTGAAAAGTTGGTTTGTGACCATTTTTGGATTTTATCCAAAAAGTGATACGATGCAACGTCTTTGTGTTCTCATCCCTAAATACCACCACCTGAGATAAGAGTTATAGAAGCTGTATTTAATAAGAACTGGTTCAAAGAATACTGTATCCTTGCTTAGTTTTCCTTATAATCCCTATTGATTGTTCGTCACACAGTTGTCGACGATATCATGTACTGTGCAGGCTGGACATTAGAATCAATTCCTTTGTTCCGCTGTAAGGGGGACTACAGTCCAGTCGGCTTATTTAAGTGGCAGTACGGTCTGCCTACCAGATATATAAACAATGGGGGACAGTTTGATCCTGTCAATCCCTTTAAGGTGACTTTGTTTAAGTTAGCTACTCAAGCGAGGAAATTATAATTACCCAATTATTACAGACTAATAGGATAATTCATAAAACGAGTATAAACAAAAGATAGAGATTTCAGAAGTATGGGCAGTTAAGTCTAAACAAAAAACAATTCTTGTTCCTCCTTTGGGTTGAAGAGTAAATGGAGGGATGCAGGAGTTCAGGAGAAAGCATCATAAATGCAACAATTTGGCTACCTGCGTATTTTTTCCGGAATGGTTTCCCCTTGTTATAAGTAGTAGGCTACTAAGGACACAATTCTCGACACCAGTTAAAATTCCCAACTGGTTTTAGCTTGTCTGGCATGGAAACCCCAGAATCGAGCAGCGAAAAGCATACTTACCTGGCGTAGAGGTTAACCGTGATCACGAAGGCGGTTCCTCCGGAGTGAGGCTTGGCCATTGCACCTCGGCTGAGTTGACCTCTGCGATTATTCCTAATGTGAATAACTCGTGCGTGTAATTTTTGGTAGCCGGGAATGGCGTTCGCGCCGTCCCGACATTAACAATAAATATTAAACAATTTTAGGCTTAAAGCAAAGAGTTAGTTGGTAACTGAATTGATGGACAAGTGGCCTGGCAAATGTAATTTGAACAAATGTCCGACCTTTAAGAGGCATTTCGGGTTCTCTGCTATCATCGATCATTAGGAAAGGAGGTGTGCGTGTGTCTTCTTTTTGGGGTTCCCAAAAACCCCTCATCCCTTCTTTTCCATCCACTAACTGCCTTCGTTTTGATTGCGCTCCTTGGTCGTCGTCCAGCCTCCTTTTTCGCGCTTTCTTTTTTATTTATCATCATTTATTAAACGCTCTCGCTTCCCTGCCAAGTTTCCGATGCCAAGAAAGGAGTCGGTCCGAGTTCGGCAAAAAATTGTCGCTGTCAGATTACGTTGCAATATTGCTTCCAGTTGCCATATCCTGCCGACTTTCCGCCCAAATTCACGCTGCGAAGGACGAGAGAAACGGGAATCCGAGGGTCGGGGACTGCGAACTCCCACTTCCACCCCCACTGCCCTTTTCCCATTCTTTTGGCTTTGACACAAGCAACAATTTACTCGGTTTCAGGTTAAAGTCATATCGTTAGCATTAACGCTTTTTGATTTTTATTGAGTCAGCTAAATTTTATTCGATTTACCATCCACACACACACACACACACACAAACAGGGGAGCACTGGAGCACACACACCCTCGCAGTGGGAAAGACAAATACAGATGTACCAGCAGCATCCCCCTCAGAAGAGCAGGGCACAACATTCCTGGGGAGGAATATTTCCGAGCTTTAATGAGGTTGGGCCACCAACCAATGAGTCCTTCGAAGGGGGAAGGACGACCTGCTTTCCCCTCCCTCTTCCAACTTTCCCCCAGGAAGAGTCTATTTCGGAAGTAAATGAAAATTTGATTTGGAATTTCGTGTGTCCTGGTCGTGCGTGCGTTACAGGATCTCAACCCAGGCCAAAAGAACCCAAGCTGAACCCCCGACGAGGATGATGATGTCGCTGCTACTTCTGCTCCTGCTGATGCTGATGACGACGTCAAAGTCGAAGATGGGCATGTGATAAAATAAATTACGGGCAGATTAGTGCGAATTTAATTATCGTTTGTTCCTTTGATGTCGCGCTAAGCAAATAAAGGGAATAAATATGATGATTATTCAAACGGCAGTTCTAATAACATTATTTCCGTACCCACTTAATTGCGGAAAATGTGCCAAGCTGTGCTTGAAGATGGTTACCTGAATTTTCCAACCCCTAAAAGAGCCTACTTTTCTATTAGAAGTGATTATATGCTTGTAATTCCCAACTGGTTCTAACAGTTTTCTCAGGGAAACCTTAAACCAGAGCTGAGGAAATCATACTTACCTGGCGTAGAGGTTAACCGTGATCACGAAGGCGGTTCCTCCGGAGTGAGACTCGGTCATTGCACCTCGGCTGAGTTGACCTCTGCGATTATTCCTAATGTGAATAACTCGTGCGCGCTATTTTTGGTAGCCGGGAATGGCGTTCGCGCCGTCCCGACATAAAAAATAAATAAACAAAGAAATAACTACAATATTTACCTAAGTCCAAACAAGATTTCTTTCTTAATTATGTGAGATTCGCAACGAAGTACTTCCCACTTGAATTCACCCTTGTGATTTTGTTGATACATCAGTAACTCTGCTTAGTGCAAATATTTGCATTTATCTCAGTCGTTCGCTACCTCCGAAATCAGATACAGAATGCACTGGTTGCCTGTGGTTACGCGCTTTCAGGGTGCACAACTCACCCCCAAGGGCACTTGTCGAGCGGATTGGAGATGGGATTAGGGGTACAAGCGGGGGTGGGACGGGCGCAACCCTTTCTGATTTGATGGTTATATGCAGATTCAGATTTTCGGGCAGGGGGCTCAAGGCAAAGGGTTTCGCCAAGGGGATGTCCTGCTAAGTATCCCTGGCAACCGGTTAATTTATAGGGCTTATGTGTCTGCGATCCTTTCCTCTGCCGGCCGGGCATTAGTGGATTAAAAGCGTTTATTGTCTTCGGTATCCTTTTTAGACTGCTGCACGGTGCGTCATGAGTTCAATTGACAAAGTGACTACTACTATGTGAATGTGGGTCGATGATGCCGTGCGTTGCCAATCAATTTTGCCGGCGACAACCTGGCAACAAGTCAGCGAAATAAAGCCATCTGCTTGGCAACGTCTTCGCTTCCTTTTTATCGGCTGCGAGAAATCTTATCGGTTTCTAGTGACGAAAAATCAGGAGACGGACGCCCCAGACACAACCACTCAGCCAGCCAGAAAGATAGACATGGCCATTGAGTATTATTTGTTCTGCTTCTCCCCTTTTCCCCGCTGGAGAACCCGAGACCCAGAGCATTATTAACAACAACCATCGGCGGTCGTGTGCCGGGCAGCCTCAGGCGGTGGATATATCTGGGTTTTTCCGAGGGGTTTTGGGTTGGGGGATGTCAACGTGCTCGTCATCACTTTGTATAAATATCCTCGAGCACGTATATTCCATGGGGCCACGTGCTCGGGACTCGTCCAGGACTTCAGAGATTAATGCACGCATTAGTTGATTTAATTCATATTACGCTTTTGTTGCCACCGTCGTCCTGGACACCCAGTTTCTTTCTGCCATCGATTGAGACATTCTCGGGGAATCCCCTGGCCTCCTGGCAACGCAGCTTTGGGCATTGGGATTTAATATCGAATCGACAAGCCAGAAACAAACTGAAATCCACCTCTGACACCTTTCAATTGGAGGCTGTCTGTTTCGGTTTCTGTTTCTGTTCTTTTTAAACATTTTGGCATACATTTGCATTGTTTAGCTGGAAGTTCTGCGGCAAGGCAGCCAAGTCGAGCTTAGCATTGAATTTCAATATATTTCATGGTTTTCAATCAATTTCATGGCGCAGTCCCAAAGGGAAAGGCATGCCAACAACTCCCCCGGGGACTTGTCAAGAGTTTGGCAAACAGTCAGCCAGTTCGTCATAGTCTCATCGTAATCGTAATCATCATCCACTGGCAGAGCAACATCATCATCGGTTCGGGGAGGCTGCACGGCAGCAACTTTTTGTATGGCAAAGTTCTTTCGTCTGAGGATTAATTTGCAAAGCTGGCTTCGCTCTTTGTCCGTGTCCAGCGATTTTCTTGAGCCTCCGGATTATGAATCCGTAGCAGAAACTGCAGCAAAGGCAAAAGTAAAAGCACCTGCAAAATGCACCGCATTGAAGGCTCTTCTCTTTCTCTCTGTGTTTGTGAAAGAAGTGGAAACTTAGTTTTTGGCCGACCGTTTCAATTAAATCTGCTCCGACTAACGATCTCCCAACCCGTTCCTTTCATCCACAGCCGCCGGACGAGCACCACCGGAACCCTACTACGGTCGCTATATCGGGGACTTTACCAACTTTGCCCACGGCATCAAGGTGAGTTTTACATTTCTTACTGAGCTCAGTGAATTTAAAAACCATTTAATTGTTATAAAAAGGTTTTTAACAATAAATATTAATTTAAAAATTAAGTTAGCAAAAAAAAACGTGATGTAACCCTTTTGATAAAGTAATACCAAAATATTTGTTTTGTTCTTTTCCGTAAAAAGTGTATATTAGTTCAGATATGGAATGGATTGGCATTTAATACTACAAATTTTAATTTTTGTCAATTTATTGCAAAAAAATGTGATGTAACTGTTTGATAAAAAAGAAAAAGTTGAACAAAAAAATGTTTTACATGGAAAGTTCGGGATTTAGTCAATAAGTTGGTTAGCTGTTCAAAATATACATATATATATTTGCTTTAATAGAAGACAAATGTTTACAAACCTAATTGAAATGTAAGAACTTGCTATATCTTGATTATTACTCCTAGGCCGTTTTTAGGGATTTTACAAACATAAGAAAGGCTACAAATTATGCAAACAAATATTATTTCTACGGATAAATAAGTTAAGTTAGTTAGTTAGCATGGTACGGCTTTAATTAAGGACTTTTTTGATTTAAAAATTGCCCCCTTATTAACATGTTCAAACCCCCCTTTTCAGGGTCAAATCTACGCGGTGGACGAGTCGACGTTGTTCGTGAAATCCTTTGCCTACGACGGCACAGGACCGGACGCCTTCTTCTGGGTGGGCAAGACGCCTCGTCCCAGTCCCGAGGGCTACATCATTCCCTATCCGGAGGAGTACACGGGCATGTGAGTATCGCAGTTCTAGGAATGCAATCCGAACACTCCACACACATTTTTGGGGCTAGCCATTGATGGTTGGACTGGACCTTGTTCGAGATGGAAATGGAAATGGAAAGGGCGGTGGAGATGCTGATGGAGATGTCCTGGCTACTCGAGCGCAGCAGGCCATTTCCTTAGAACGTGAGCGAATGTTTTGGGTGGACGACGTGTATGTGTAGCCCCGCATCCTTGCAGACTTTACGTTACGCACGGCTGACAATGAAACCACTTTCAAAAATTAAAAAACATTTTTCATCTCGCCTGCCATTTGTGCTCGTTGTCGCTTTCCTTTTGCCTTTGCTTCCCGGCGCCATTGTGGCTCGGCAAGTTGCCGTTGGTGGTGTCGCTTCGTTGCCTCCTAATGTGAAAAACTCATTTATTTCTTCACGTTAGATTTGCGGTCATATGTGTGGTTGGGGGACAACCCACCGCCCACCGAAAAAACAACAGCAAACAAAGAAAGCCGCAGGGCGGTGGAGAAAGTGGGCGTTTAGTGGGGGGTCGTTGAAAGAGATAGCAAAGTTTCTGGCCCAGCTACTATTTACTTTGAGTCGCCACAAGGTTAAGCCGCTCAACTATTTACCTTGTCAGTCTCCTTGCGCTGCCACTTGAACGCACTAAGCTGGTATTAGCCAGCTCCCCTCCCCTTTAACCGCCCCTAAAATCCGCATCACCCCCTAGTAGTAATCCCACGTTGCAGCCAAGACACGCACACAATTTGACGTCATTTGCCTGCTTAGAAATCGGGCATTGCATATTTCATTATCACAAACTAATCCCCTGATCCCTAAACTTAAACCTAAACCTAAACCCAAAACAAGGCAAAGGTGAAGTGGCTTTCCACTTGGCATTGACATTATCTCAGGCCTGGAAAATACGCCTCAGGTGAATGTCGTATTTGATTTTCATGGTTTAGTAAGGCAAAGGGGTAGGCCCTTTCTTTGACTTTTCGAATGCCAAGGTTAAGTATAAAATAAGTCAAATTTAAACTGTTTTTAATAACATTTCTATCATACCTTTAATAAATGTTTTTAAAATGTATTTATTATTTTCAATATACCATTTCTTTGAGTGCCTTTAAAGCGGCTTACATACCCCAATGTTAGCTTGGATTTTTGCATATCCAATCTTTGGCAAAATATTTTAGCCAGGCCAAGAATAACAGAGCGCATCGTGCGAGGCATAAGCGATTGGGATTCCCATTCCTCACTGCGCAGTCTCCGGGCTCCGCAGCTCCACAATCCCAGAACCCCAAAACCCCATTCCCAAATCACGCGGCCAAAAAGAAAACCTGAGAATGTTTACGCACTGGATTTCCCCATTCGAAAATCTCAAACGCTCGGCGCGGTTTCGCGCTTGAGAAATCGTTTGATGATGTGTATGTTGCTTCGTTGGTTGGCAGACTAAAACCGATGCAGAATGGAACCATCCAAGCCGAATCCTTGGCCCAAAGCCCGGGCATTCATATTGTAATCGACTTTAATGCGTTTCATTGTTGATGCCACGTGCCGGGCTTTATTAGTTCAATGTACAACGATGCCATCGCCTCCATTTCCATTTCCCCGCCTTGGTCCTTCGTCCTTCGTCCTTCCTGTCCTCTTCTGACAAAGAGCAACATTGTGCCCAAGAGTGTGGGGTCCTGCGATGTGGAGGAGGTGGAAGCCCGGAACGCCGTAGCGATTGCACGCTTTTACGCTTTCAGACACATTACCCATGCCACCGGTTTGCCCATGCACCTTCTGAAAGGGAAAAAGGGGAGGGGGTGGCTGAAGGTCGACGATGGGGTGGTGGGGTGGATCGAGCTGGTGTTAGCACGATGATGATTGCTGTATTATGTGGCACACCGCTGCTATCGCAATCGCATGCATTTGAGCCAACAAATTGCGCGCGTTTATTATGTCTAATGATTTTTATAGCTGTATGTATGCCGTGACGTCGCCGAGAGATAATTGATAAATGCAACTGATTGGCATTGGGACAGGCTCTGTGGTAGTTCTTCCTCCTCTGTCGTCCCCATCCTTTCGAAAAGCAGGGGAAAAGGGAGGAAGTATGGCAAGTGACAGCCTCAAAACTGGCTTCTTGCTAAGCTCCTCGGGCAGGCCAATCAGCGTTAATTATCCCAACTGCTTTTGGCAGGCGCCGTTGAAGGGCTGCCAATCCTGCTGCATCAGGAGTTGGTTGAGCACTCAGGAAAAATATTTAAAATTAAAAAATAATTAAAATTATCTACATTAAAAGGTGCTACACTAATTTTATATTTCATTAATATTTAAAGACATCTAAAATTTGGTTTTTGTATGATTACTTCTTTCGAAGGAATAAAACTACCTTACTTAAAAGTTAAAAAATCTATATTTTAATTTTGAATATTTTTTATTAAATAATGAAAAGTTTTATAACTGTTTTCTATTGAGTTGTAAGAATCTGATATTCATTGCTTGTTTTTCTTTTTTCGAGTACCTTCCCGCTTTTTGTGTTGCTCACTTCTTTTTATGTTCACGCTCGCTTTACCTCCCCCTGGAGTGGGTGGATGGGGAGGAGTGGGTGGATGGGGTAGACTGGGTGGGGAATGTGTCACAATGGATGCATCGAGCATAAGTAATTAAATTAGAATTTTTTGAGAAGCACAAAAGCGACGCCGTGCTGATTAACGCCCGTTGCCATGACAATGAGGATGACGCCGTTGCCTTGTCCTGCACCAACCACCCCACTGCCCCCACCCCTGCACCTCCCCCTTCCCCTCCCCCTCCTCCCCTGTTGCTCATTTGCATCTGCAGTACAAAACATCCGGCTCGCTCCACCTTGGCGCTTGCCTTTTCGCTTAACGCTGATTTATGCAGATTTCATTAAAATTTGCTGCATGCAAAGTAGCAAAACGAAGTTATAGTTTTGTCCTTCATTGTCGGCACAGTCCACGCCCACCCAAGGACCACCCCACCCACTACCCGGATCATCCTTCATTGTGTTAATCAACTTTGACAGCGCAGCCGCAACACGAACAACTGTTTTGGCTGCCGACTGATTTCGCCCCTGGCTGATGTGCCAACTGCCTTTAACTCGATTAAGCAGCAGAAAGTTGGCGGATTCATTCGGCATACAACTTAACCCTCGGCTGCCGTAGCCCTCCGTTTCCTTCTTATATAAAGTATTTTCAGCTTCAGCCCTCAAGTAGTTTCGCCTGTTGCTGTCACTTCACCCTCGCTGCGCTCACAAGTAGGCAACGCTTTTCACACCTTTCAGGGTTCGAAATGGGGATTGTTTGGGATATTTTCGAAATGTTTTCTTTAAAGTCCATTATAAATTGAATTGAACTGGAATCATTAAAAAGGCTTTGAATGTTCATAGTAGATGATTTAATAAAGCATTGTAACTTACTAAGATGTCACTGAAATCTACATAAAATAGTAAGAAATACAAAAAAATGTAGAAAAATGTTTATTTCAAATTATATAAAAAAGAAAAAAAATTTATAAATGCCAAATACAAATTATTGCTTTATAAAAGCAACTTACTGATTCATATTCAGATTTAATATTAACGCTTCTCCTTTTTATACCCTTGCAGAGGGTATTATAATTTTGGTCAGAAGTTTGTAACGCAGTGAAGGAGACGTTTCCGACCCCATAAAGTATATATATTCTTGATCAGGATCAATAGGGGAGTCGATATAGCCATGTCCGTCTGTCCGTCTGTCCGTCTGTCCGTCTGTCCGTCTGTTTCAATACCGTTTGCGAGCTCAGTTTAAAAGCTAGCGCCTTGAAACTTTCACAGTCGTCCTAAAACATGTGTACGCAGATCAAGTTTGAAAGCCGACCCGATCGGACGTCTATATCCTATAGCTCCCATAGGAACAATCGGATATAGCTTTCACAAAAATGAAGATATTTCGCTCAGTGTAAGAGCTATTGGCATGAATCTTTCCAAATCGTATTTTTTTGTGCGTACCTTGATCAGGGTAAACGCGCGTGCCGATCGGGCGTCTATATCCTATAGCTCTCATAGGAACAATAGGGTGAAAAATTTTAAAATTTTATTTTTTCAATTATAAAATATTTTGTTGTTTATTAATTCATGTTGCTAGTCTAGTCAAGTTTTCATTCGTAAAATCTGCAAGGGTATTAAAACTTCGGCTTGCCGAAGTTAGCTTCTGTCCTCGTTTTTTACTATTTTATTAAAATAATTTTATAATATTATATTATAAAACTTGCAGCAATTAATGCCAACTAGATTTCCAGCAGCTCGTTAAGGGACATCTTTCCGTACTTATCTCTCCGTACCGCGCGTACTAATTATTATTGTTGTTGGCGTGATTAATGCCCCCGACCACTGCACTTTAATACAAATTTAATTGAGTAGTCGTTGCCGGCAGGGGAGTCATCCTCATCCATTTGTCTGAAAAGCGGCCTGTCACCCACAAAAAGCGGGGGCGTTGGCTTGGATGCGGCGCTTCGTCACGGAAACATGAAATATTCATAATAATTTTAGAATATTTTCGGTGGTGGTTTGCCCCGTTTTGCAGGGGTTCCAGGGGGTCTGAAATTCCCAGAGATGGGGTTGTATGCTGGATGGTTGGGGTGTCTGCTCTGCTGAGTTGGCGCGTTTTATTGTCTGCGAAATGCCCTCGATTGTTGTGCGTTTTGTTTATCGAGCGGGAATGCAAAGTGCCAGTCAGCAAGCAGGCTCAACAAGTTGGCCAGTTTAGTCTTAGTCAATGGGCGAGCACACATGAAAAGACGCCTGAGCTCTTTGCGAATTTGAATCAGAATCCTGAATTCAAACTAATTGGGTGAAAGTGCACAGGGGCTTATGTACATATGGAATATGTGTATGTGAACGAGGGCAAATAAAATAAAATCGATGAATGAACCCAAACAGAAGGCAAAGCCCAAAACCGAACCAAAGCGAAACTAAAACCCATCCTGAGTGCATCAATAAATGTCGAGCGGAGAGGTCCTTGCCGAGTGGGAGGACAAGCAAATCAAATAAAGCAACAAACATATTTGCCAGGCGGAAACTGTAATGGAACTAGGAATCGAAAGCAAACAGAATTCTGGAGAACTGGTGGACTACCGAAGACAAAGGACCAACCAAGCAACCCCAAGAGGTTGGTGCCATCGGGACCTCGTTGTGTATCCAGCAGATACATTTGATGCACTGTTGACACAGAGCCATTCAATTTGTTTTGGCTCATTAGAGTGGTGCAACTGTTGCTTGGGGTTCTGGTTCTTGTTCTTGTTCCACATCTTGGACCTCTGTCAATGTGTCATTTCGATTTCAAGGGTGCCGGGCTGCTAAGTGCTTAGCCGTGTCTAATGCGGATTGCGTGGCCTCCGTCGACATTCATTAGACGTCGACCTTTCCACTTGAGTGGACGACTAACCGCCCAACTGACTGATTGACTCGCCACCGCCGCCTGACACTTGTCCCAGTTGCGATGAATCGATCCTGCAAGGAGCTCTACATACATCCCCGCCAAGGATATCAAGGATATCGCTCTGCAGCCCGCGACGACAGATACAGATTCATCTGGGCAAACACTCGCTGACTGTTCAGCCCCCTTGGGATTGGCATACTTAGACTTCAAGTTGATTATTAATATACCCCAGGGCTTCGACTACGGCTTCAGCTGAGTCCCCCGAGTGAAATGAGATGCAGTAACTGCAGTAATGGATATGTAATCATCGCAAAATCCACATGATTACGAAAGCTAAGGCAAATGCAAGCGAAAGCACTCTCTTGATTCCAATGCCAAGGTATCTTGTGGGTTTGTGATATAAAATAGTCCAAATATTCCGAAGCCATGTTGATGGCTTCAGATAAAATATTAATTTGCATTATAGAACGATGAATATAGATGTTATGTTTCGCATGTAATTTAGTTCAGGTAAGTTTACAAATTCACAAAAAAGCACTGATGCGCTGAGAGTTAAACCCAAAAAAGTCGTTAATTGGCTTAAACAAAAAGGCGCCTGAATATAGTAACTACATATATAGGTGCGCAGTAGAGATTGCCACCCAACTATTCAGGCATTGTGAGGCTCCCATCGGAGGGGAGGAGCATGAGGGTCATGAGACGTGTGTAATGCCTCGGTTCGCTGCATTAGCCATAAATCTTCATCAGCGCTCGCTTCATAAATAATGCCAATATGCGAAAATGAGAAATGTTTTTGGTTTTGTCGTCGCTCGTTCGGTTTTTGCTTTAATTTTAATGACATCAAGTCGCTCAGCATGCACACAAATAATACTGTATGTATATTTATTCGAGAATCGAGGACAGGGTCTGATCTGTTGCATTTTCTGGCTGGTTTCGCTTTAAGCCCTATGCAAATACTGGCCGTAAACGTGCAAATTGGAGGCGAGCCCTTCGGGGACAAAATTTGCTGACATTCTGTGGGCCGGGCCAGAAAATCTGTTTGATTTCCACCTGTGCTTTGTCGCTTAATTGAGTCACTCATCGGGGAACGCATGAAACTGGCCTTTCAACTGTTTTAAAGTATATAACAAAGTATTGCAATACTGGTATGCAGTCGCAATAAATGTTAAATTAAATATTTTCAGACGAATGAAATATTTTCAAACAAATATTTAAGCTCTTAGATGGTTTTGAAAAATATTAATTGAGATTTCATAATAATGTTTAATAATACAATATTAAACTTAATAAAGCAGTGTGTTTTTAATAAGACGGAGCGACTATGGGTTGGGAAAATTCACTTACACACTTTGCTTTACTTGTACCCATAGTTTTGTATGCTCTGGACCCCGTTTAACTCTATTTCTCCGTCTCGCTCTCGTTCTCGGCATCCGTCTCTTTTTGGAACCACCCGCAGGGATCCCCCCATTTTGCAGGCGCACAACCGAACGGACATCATACTGCGCTTACCCATGGGCAAAAGGATTAAGGACATTCGATGGCTGTCAGTGTGGTGCAGACGCTTCACGGTGAGTCCTTGCCTGCTTTCTTCCCATCCATATCCATAGTATATTATCCATTTTTTCCCTCTTTTGCGGATGGCACGCGCCATTCCCCCAGATTTATGTGTGTGTATTTAGCCTTTTTTGTAATTACATTTTTGTAATTTAACTGCAGCTGCACAAAGAGCTTGTTCTCTGCCCGGCTATCGATTATGTTCTTAATGGCTTTTCAAAAAAAGAAGGAAGTTATTTGGTTTCTCGTCTCGCGTTTGCTTAAGAGTAAATGAAGGATCTAAGGATCCAAGGCAAGGCAAATAATCCTTTTGCAGTCTATAATGTGGGTCAGCCAGCCGCCTGGAACTTTGTTTTCATTAGAGTTTTAGATTTTAATTACAGTGCTGAATATGCAAATGCCACCGTCCACCGGCAATTATGTTTGCCTTGGTCTGGCGAAAATTACTTTTGTTTAAGTTTCCTCGGAGGCAGCGGAGTACAAGTGCATTTCCAGATAAATTCCCCAAATTGGAATCGGGGCTTGTGGGGTTTTTGTTGCAGGGTCGAATAAAAGATGGCGGCCGTAGTAAAATAAATTACAGCAGACATTTTTGATTAACTCAAGTGGTTGCATATAAACACACACACACACAGACCACCCCCCATCCCCCACCTCACTCCTCTCACACAGATACTGACACGAATGGGGGTCGTGTGTATCTGTGTGGCATACAGGGTGCTCCTTCCACGAACCTCTGTGTGTGTGTGCGGGTGTACGCTGCCTTCCATTGACTGACAGCCAAAAAACTTCTTGGGGGCTGACTGCCGCACACCCACACAGATGCACCCAGATTGGGGTTAGTTTGCCCCTGTGTGCGTCGCTGTGTATCTGTGTGCGAGTGTTGTTTGTGGAGTTTTGAGCGCGCATGCCCGATTTTTTACCAAGGGTGTGGGTTTTGGGGGGTTTTAGGGGGGTGGGATGGGCTGCGATGCGGTGGGGTGGCCCCACATGGAGGCATACATAAACACACATTATGTACAAATGTTTTGGGTATACAACAACAAAGCGCTTGTTTGCTTACTTAGAACCGCGTCGAATGTAGACACGGCGTCGCGTAAAATGTAGAATTTAAGATATACTCTTAAAGGATTAGTCTAGCGTTTAGAAGCAAATTCACTAAAAATGAGAGTGGATAGACCTTTAAGGTATCCATAGTAAAACAACCAGAGATAAATATTTAAGACTTTTAAAGCTTGAGAGTTTCACATATAGAAATTCATTGGTTTGGTAACAATACTAAAACTGATTAAATATCATGAGGTTTAGAAAAAGTATACCCAAAAATCTCTCTTCAAATTTTTATTCCTGAATAGAGTACTTATAATTCGTTTTCTTTATTGAGTAAAGACTGTCCTTAACTTGTAATAATGTAAAATGTATTCACCCCAGCTGATATGTGGCGTAGAAACTTCATATATATTATGTAGAAATAGGAAAAAAAAGCGCACCGCAGCCACGCCTTAAATATCAGCGGAAGAACCGCAAGATAGGAAACCTTTAATCATATGCCCAAGAAACCGCGTTGAATGACCTTAACCCCCATTTCAGGTTGATTTTGGAGAGGTGTTCATACCACCCAATCTGGATGTGCCCAGGCCGCGTGTGCTGCCCGAATTCAAGCGATTGGCCCACGGCCTGCGTTCCAGCAACATCAGTGTGCTGGATGCCAAGACGTTCTACATGTGAGATTAGCCTACGTCTTTGTGTTTTAAACATTTTACCAAGGATTACTTGACGTTTTTCAGACCCAACCTGCACTACGATGGCGCTGGACCCGATGCCTATTTCTGGGTGGGCAATGGCAGCGAGCCGAACATCATGGGAATCAAGGTCAGTGACTTCAGATATAAGTTATTTGAACTATTATTGTTTTGAAAATATTATACACAAAACAAAAGGACGGTAGAATCGATATGGCCATGTAAATTTCAGGCCATGCAAAACCCAGATCGTTTTTATATGAAATACCCCTTTCGACCAGGTCAAATTTACCTGGCCTCATATCAAATTAAAATTGATCTTAAGTAAGGTAAAATTAACCTACATTTCATATCGGTTTTTTTTGGGTGTAGAAGTAATTAGAAAATCCCAAGAGTAAACAAACTAAATAGTATAAATTCATAAAATATTGGATTAATTCATGTTTTAATATATCCCCCTTTCAGGTGCCCAATGAAAGTGGTTCTCTAGAACCGTTGCGTGGCTACCAGGGTGAAGACATTGAGATCCAACTGCCTGGCAGCCTGACCGTCTACGACATCGACTGGCTGGCCGTTTGGTGTGTGGAGTACAGGCACAACTTCGGACATGTCTACATTCCCAGGGACCTGGACGTCCCGCCCGCCTTGGGTCAGACCAAGATAACGGTAAGTGTGAGGCCCCTGATCTCGGAAATAGTTAGTTCCGGAACATTTGCCCCGTTTTACATATGCTAGCATTTGCTCATTTGCACACAACTCATAATGTATATCTCTTTGACTTATGCGCGCCGCATTAGCCTTCATGGTGGTATTCACCCGTGAGTACTAGACTTAGCCTCATGCATGTCCCGCCTTCCGAAGAGATCAGTGTCACTTACTATGCAAAATTGATCCCCCTTTCAGACCACCACGACTCCCCGTCCGGTGTACAGCAATTGTCGCGAGATCCTGCCGAACAAGCTTCAGGTAAAGTGGGAGCTCCAGGGCGACTATCTGCAGGTGGAACTCTTCGGACGCATCACCGAGGATCAGTACATGGCCTTCGGACTGTCCGGGGCGAACGGACGACCCCAGATGTCCCAGTCCGATGTGGTGGTGGCCTTCTACGACACAACGACCCGTGTGTTCCGTGCCGAGGACTACTTCATCTCGGACTTGTCCCAGTGCGATGGTCAGCGGGGAGCTTGTCCCGACGAACGGATCGGCGGTCGCAATGATGTGATCGTGTGTAAGTAATTACATTATTTATTGAGTTATATATATCCTTTGATAATCCTGCATTCCTTTAGTGAGCGGCGATAGAAAGAATGGTGTTACCAGCATTCGCTATAAGCGTCTTCTGCAGCCCAATGAAGCCATCTACGATGCTCCTATTCCCATTGATCGCGAGGTTTCGGTGATCGCCGCCATTGGACCACTTAATTCGAGGAAGGAGGCCAATGCCCACTCGCACACCGCCAGTGATCACAACCAGGACGACATTCGCATCAACTTCTCGGCAAGGGTAGGTCCCATAGGGTGATCACGAAATAAAGATACCTAATTAATCTATCCATTATCCAGAACGATCATGCCTGCAAGAGTTCACTGTACGATGTGAAGGACGAGAGTGGACCCAGGCCATGGCCCACGCGGAAAATCGAAGGTGTCAGGAAGTTCCGTGCCAGCATTGGACCCACGGGCGGCAAGCGGGGCTATACCTCCATTACTGGGGTGCCCTCGTGGGGCATTGCCTGGTATGTGAACGATCTGCTGATCCCTGAGATCACTGTGGAACGTGGCCTGACCTACGAGTTCATCATCGAGGGCGGCAATGATTCCGCTCAGCCAGCTAGGTACATATGGTTCATTTTACTGTGGTCTTAAAGAGTTTGAAGATAATATTAGTAACTTTAGTATTAGCTCTAATACTGATCTATAAGCCCAAATTTCCCACAAACAAATAATAGGGTTAGGACTGAAAAAATCAGTTTTTAACCGACATAATAAGGTATAAGTACGGAGTATCATATCTCGTTAAGCTCGTAATTTAATTACTAATCATTTAGCCCTCAAATCTAGGACTTTTTATTTTTGTCCATTTCTTACACAAAATAATGATATTACCCCTAAAAAAAAGGAAAAATGGTCAAAAAAAAATTTTCTTGGAAAGTGAAGGGGATTTGGTTGTTAGCCTTAATTTGTCCATATAACGATCAAAAAACGTACAAAAAATCGTATTTCTTGTCTAAAATCCTAATCTATATTTTCGTCCAAAAAAACTCTTTTTTTTATAACTCATGGTGCAAAATAAGGTCCCAATACTAAATGTGAAGTATAACCCAATAACCTCTCATATTATACAGATATCATCCGTTCTACATCACGGACTCTCCTGAAGGTGGACTGGGTCAGAAGATGGGTCTGGAAGCCCGAAAACAAAAAGCTTATGCTGGAGTTGAGTACAATGAGGATGGCGATGCTATTCCTACAGCAGGTAAATATCTATTCCTGATATATATTTCCATAGCTAATGATTTCTTTATCACCAGCTGGTCGTTATTGCGAATGGGAGCACCAGACCATTGATCGATCGGCGGAAATCGAGAGTTTCGAGGAATACATGAAAACACTGGTCTTTAAGTGCGAGGATGGCGAGCCAGGTTATCTCAACTGGACAGTGCCCATGGATGCTCCCGATCAGCTTTACTATCAGGTGAGAGTCACTTTGCCAGTGACTTATAAACGTAGCTAATAACAAATCCTTTCGCAGTGCTTTACACATAATAATCTCGGATGGAAAATCAATGTCGTGGACATGGGCGCCTCCAGGGGATCGATAGCCAGCAGTCAGCAACTTATTTTATACGGAATTTCCACAGTTTTTAGCCTGGTCGCGACACGCCTGCTTTTTTGTGGTCGCGTACTTGCCTGATAGTGCCAGTAAATGGACCTGAATTCTAGATTTCTAGACAAAATGTTCGACAGACGAGGGCCTGAGATCTGAGCACATATCCAGATCCGTACATATCCACAAGCATTACCATATCCCGCCCAAATTTAAAGCATTTCCATCTTCCAACTTCTCGATACGAATTTATAATTTCACACTCGTACACTCGGGACTTGTCTGTCGGAGGTTTTGGGCCACTTGGCGACTTTCACAACCAGGCTAATATCATCTGAAAAACATATCTTGACAATAATTCGTAAGATGTAAAACTGTTGAAATTGTGTGTGCATGCGTGAGGGCCCACTGTACTGCTGCAGTGGGCGTAGAATGGGTGTTTGAGCCATATAGCCGGAACTTGATCGGTTGTTGGCAGTAGATTTTTGTGGCTAGGCAGCGAGAACTTTTTGTACATTTACGAGTATGGAATTCTACTTTTTTACATGTATACTTATTAAATTTACTTATACATCTACATCTCTAGAACAGTAAATTGTAATTTTTCTAGAAACTACTACAAAACCTACACACAGGCATGTAGATACAGAATCATGTTTAATATACGGTTCAATGAAAACGTAAGTCGACAATAATTACGCGACAATGCGACAATAAATAAATGATACATAATAAGATATAATGCATAATAAATTATTGGGCTGCAACCGAAGCTCAAAGACAGTGTACAATAAGAATTACATGGATTTAGGAAGGCCAGAGAACGGATGCAATTTGTATGACAATAAAATCTACAGATTTGTGAATTTTGAGAAAGTTTCGCAGACAATAAAATACTTTTACACACTTTGAATGTACTAAGGAACTAAAGACAAATAAGAGAACTATGTTATTTAATGCTACTGACTACTGTGGTGCTTCTTGTAACGATATTAGATGAAATGTAAATCACACGCCGCACACAATTAGAATGGAACACAAGAATCCCCCTCTGGACGGGATGAAGTTTTTGTTATCAGATGGTTTTCTTGTAACTTTTTTAACTATATTTGCATAATTGGTGTTTTTATATAAGCATGGTATATATATATATTCGTGTATGTTTACAATAAGCGATATGTTTATGATGGTAAGTGAAAAGGAAAGACACACAACTAAGATGTACGACAATAAAAAGTGGACAAATAATTACCATGCGTACTTAAGAAATATTTGACAAGATATTGAATATGTAATATTATTAACTGATAAATATGCATGTATCTTTTGATAGTTGTTTGCATTAATTTTGGATAATGGCTTAATAAAAGGCAAAATAATTCCGAACGAATTACTTTACAGCCACAGCTAAAGGATCCACATTTGAGGAGCTAATTTAAATAAAAGAACTAACTTTTCCTAAGAGTATAAATGTATAAAAACTATTGGACACTAAAGTTTGTTAAGTTTCTGTTGTTTTGAATCCTTTGTTTCCTTTTCCCGCATTAGTTTACACATTAAGGGCCACTTTGCTGTAGTAATGTACATTTTCGGGAAAAGATACAGAAAAGTGTAAAGATCCATGAAATATAACTGTGGAGAGTTTTGATATTGAAATTTGACCGGGTCTGGAGCAGGCTTATAAGTCAAATTGATTTTTGTATAGTTAATGCAGCTAAGCGCACAAGAGTCCAGAAAAATGAAAACGAAATCGAAACAAGTGTAATGGTAACCACAAATAAAACGATTTATAAATAAACTCACACCTTTATATTCAATTGAAATACATACATATACATATTTACATTAAACAAAAGGCAAGAATATGACTTTCAAAGAATATCCCAGAATATAAAAATTTCCATGTCGATTATAACTTAACATCTCGTACTTAGATAGCAACATTTTTCTGCATTACCTAAACGAAGTACTTTCATTAAATATAATAAAATCGAAATCAAAAGCAACTTGCATTCAAATCTCCAATTTAATAAATAGATATGCATGAGTCGCAGGCTAAGAGGGTGAGGAGAAAACTAATCCATTTTTAAATGTTAATAGATCGCATCAGATCCCGCAAAAATAAACCCGATTGACAATAGCTTGCTATGAAATTGGTCAGTTCAAATAAATGGTAGAGAATTGAAAGATTGATGTCAATAATAAGCTTCTCAAGAAGAAAAACAAGGAGTGTAACAAAAAATCCAAAACAAATATTCTACAAATAAATTTCCGAAAACAACTGCGCTCGTTTTATTTCAATGCGGGGAGGAAAATGATATTCGGAATGACTGGGAGAAATGCCAAAGTATCAACTAAAAATAATCCGCTCGTGTCCTTTGCAAATAGTTAAAACCACTTTAATTTAGTATCAAAGATTGTTTCAAATTTATTATTAATGTCGGGACGGCGCGAACGCCATTCCCGGCTACCAAAAATTACACGCACGAGTTATTCACATTAGGAATAATCGCAGAGGTCAACTCAGCCGAGGTGCAATGGCCAAGCCTCACTCCGGAGGAACCGCCTTCGTGATCACGGTTAACCTCTACGCCAGGTAAGTATGCTTTTCGCAGCTCGGCAGCAGGGTTTCCATGCCGGAGCAGCTAGAACCAGTTGGGAATTGTAACGAGCGTGCGGCGAGATAATTCACCCCTCTAAGTATACCTTATAAAATGTGCTAGCATGCGCAGTAGAAGGCCGAGTTTCAGTGCCAGCTGATGGTAAACGAATGTTGTTGCCTTTATTTTTAGCAATAAATAAATGTAGATATGATTGGTTGTGGACTTTACCTTTTTAGATTTAAAGTTTTATGTAAAGTTATTTAAGAGCATATACAACTGGAAATTTATTTATTTAACAGCAGAAAAAAAGGGGAATACCGTGATGTCAGATCTGGCAATTAAAGGTCTAAAAGTTGTAAAATTTAAAAACAGAACTTCATCAATAAACAAATCAGTGGCGAATCGTAGAATGTTTTAGAACAAATTAGTTGTTGCATTCCTTTTCTATACCACATTTTCTTTGACTTTTCATACGAACTAGCATTTGTGGATCATAATAACCTTATGATTGTTATTCTTAAACTAACCTGATCCTATTTCTGGAAACTCGAAAGCAATAATTGGAATTATCATCAATCTTCAGCATTTATGATAAGGTATTAAAAGCTGTCGCCTTAGCACACTATCCTTGTGCGCTTCGCCACTCCAGTGATAATTAATTTTTCCTATGCATGCTTTTTTACACCACATTTCCAATTACTTTTTACCTAAGTAGGTAACTTTATTAGCCAAATCCCACCCGTGGATCCGCTCATGAAATAAATACTCAACAAATTGTTTATGTGTATTGCTAGAAAGTTTTTATTTTACATTTTGTATTTATTATGAACTATTTTGTTGTTTTGTTTTTGTTTTGCAATGCTGTGATTTGTTAACCCACCGCGGCGCAACATTTAATGAACACACAAACGTGTTTAATGCATACAAAATAATAATACAAATAATCGTAATGTATAATAATAAGGTGTAAGATTAACTAACTTAGTAATGTATAATGCGATTTGGGCAGAAAATGAATATCAACATACATAGATCGCTGCAGATATATTTAAACCTATATAGATCTAGACATATGTAAGTATGATGCTATCATACGCGTTCGATTTCGTGAGTTCGCTTTTATACGTATTTGTTGACAGAGTTTTGAAACTGTACATGTTGTTCATACGGTTTGTGTTTTTTTGTTTTTCGTTTCATTATTATTTGTTATTTAGAATAATGCTTTACCATGTTTTTATTGGCTGAAGTTTATTTGTTGTTTATTATTGTGTTATGTTCTCCTCGATAATTCTTCTTTCTAAATGTAAGCTCTAGATTTGGTGAGAAATACGTAAATGTTGTTGCTGCATATGGGTTGGTTGCCCGACCCATAGCAATGTTGGGTAGTTGCAATTGATTGCGAATAATTAGGTTCAACGATTACATTTCAATCTTGTTTGTTTTTACAATTATACACAATTTATGCGGCTGGCCCGTGGTGGGCTATAAATATATCTGCGATTTACATTCGGTTTCAACTTTTACAATTATGCAATTTCCATTAATTCGTACGGTTGATGGCTGCTGATCATTACGATTTCGTTCGTTATGCCTTGCTTTCATTATTTCAAATAATTTTTACATTATACAGTGGAGTGGAGGAAACCAAACATGAAACATTAACATGCAATTTCGATCAGGGAATGGGGTGTGTAATGGGGAGATGGGAGCGCCTTCGTTAATTTCGTAATTAATCGCATTGATTTGCTAAACATAATGCAGCAATTAAATAGTAGCAATCGAATAGTGCAAAACTCTAGCAGCCAGAGACACAACAAACACAAAAGGCTTCTTCGCTTCAATTTGTTCTCCTCTTGTGTTTGTTTAATTCAGTATTCAGAAATTGTTTCCGCCTTCTGTTGCATTTAAATGTTAATTAATGATAATAAATAAAGCCTAGTTTTAATGCCTGCTTGAAACTTGGACATCTTTCAATTACTACAGTATCTATATAGACGTAAATACAGTTGTTTATCCATTATATTTATATTTAATCTAGATTATCCTGGAATATTAACTTTATGTAGCCAGTCGCTCCGTCCAAGGGCGTCGCACAGAAGGGACAGACGGCCTGAAATCCGTTGGTGCCGTGCGGTATCTCCACATTGGCCCAGTATCTGCAAGGTTCGAAGGTAAACCAATCAATTAGTAGAGTCATTTCATAAGCCACACCAGGCTGCACTCGCTCACTTGACAGTTTTCTCAGTCGCCATGTGTCCGCATGGATTGAACGCGTACGTCGGGGCGCCCACGTCCACATAGAAGGCTGGTTCCAAGCCCATGCACAGGGTGACCACCGGACCGAGTTCCAGGCACATGGGGCAGCGTCGGGCGCCAGTGTTCTCGTCCTGACCCCAATCGTGATGGCCTGTCAGGAGGGAAAGCGAGCAGAATTATATATTACTTTTTCCACTTTAAGACTCTAGACATTTACCCTGAACATGGCCGCAGTTTAAGTACACGTAAGGCTGGTTCACCTGATCCCCAATGTTAACTTTGCGAGGTATGACCAACGTGTTCAGGCCCACCGGGCACTGTGGACGACCGGCGTTGATGGCATCGATAAGTTTTTCCAAATCGTGTTTGGTCTGTAATTAATAAAAGGGTAATTGGAATTTTAGCTATCTATAACCCATAAATACTCACCGGCGAATGCTGCAAGCCCTCGGCGGAACGCCAGAGCAAGGTTGCGCCGCAGAGATCAATAAGTGTGCCATCCTGCAGGATGTTGCATTCATCGTAGATCTGGATAGATAGAATATTTTAATAAACTGTTAGATGGGCTAGACAAATAACCTACCGGTTGACCCTTCTGCTGGGCCGAACGCGATTCGCGCAGGCTGAAGACATCGCCGCCCACGGAGCACTCGCGCCAGAGGCCGCACTTGGCATTGCCGCCACAGAATGAGCCTTTGGGGTGCATAATCAGCACGCCGTTGGTGGTCAGGCCATCGATTTCCACATTGTCCTGCCACTTGGTGGCCTTCTCCTGTTCAAAGTCAAGTTCGTGGCTCATTAGAATCAGCAGGAGATTGTCCCAAGGGTCAAAAACTTACCCCGAGGAATATGTTTCTGCTCGAATCGAAGCCGGCAGCGAATATTCTCGCCTTGGCTGGCTCACAGCGGTTGACCAGAATGCGGCAGGCGAACCGAGAAATTGTGCTCTGCATCACCTTGGCATCCTTCTTATCGCCCGGCAGCGTGTCCATCACCACAAAGTCAATCGGTGACTCCGAGGAGCGTCCCACCTGGCGGATCAGAGCAATCATCGTGATTAGTTAGGGGGGGAAACTGATTAGGCAATTTATCAGAGAGCAAATAAATGACGAATCATGGCAATATTGGCACTACACTTCAGGAGATACTTTAGTTGCCAGGCCGGTATAAATATTGAATGTCGACTCGTGGCTAAGCTAAAGTCAAAAGTCAACAGGAAGGACTTCTGACCTTCTCGGGGCCCTCCGACAGCTCTAATTAGCCAAATAACATTCATCAAAGTCAGGCCGTGAAACCGAAGCTCTTGGGGATTGGGGATTCTTTTGGGTGCCTCACCTGAAACATGTCCGTTTCCGTGTCCTCCTTGTACTCCACGATTACCGCCTGGTTGCGTGAGAGTGTGTACGAGATTGAATGCTGATTGGCATCCAGAATGGCCTTCGAGGTCTGTGGCGACTGGACGATGTAGTGCTTGGACCGCTTGACGCCGCTCGCCTCCGTCCGCTTGTGGAGCACAAACTTGGAGCGTCGCCGACCGCGATCGCCCTGTGGCAAGTAACCATTGTAGCTGCAACGAGACAGATAGAGCGATTCGGTGTGAGATACATATTCGGTGGATGACAGATGTGGGGCAAGATGATAAGAGAGCTGCCGAGCTGGCATGCGGGATTATTGCTCAACAAATACAATTCGTTCGCTTTTGTGGGTCAAGTTCTGAGTCGGCAATATGTTTACACAATTAGTGGGCAGCACACTTTCCTGCCTCCCACAGATAACTCAGAAGAATTGCGGGCTAGCTTTTGTTTTCCCCGGGTTATTTCGGTCTTTTTGCTACATTAGCAAGACCATAAACCATGTAATTACCGATGCATGTCAGTTCTAGCAAATGGATATACTATTGACTTTGGGTCGATTGTGTTTATGACTAGAAAGTGTTCTTTACTTTGTTAAGGGCACAAAAATACACAGCAGATGTCTGATATTCTGGAATTGGGGAAAAGAATGATTCATTCATATTCCCATAGGGGCTATATAATTATATTTTAACATCAATCAAATCCACAAATGTCGCGACAAGTTCTTTGAAAATCAAGCATTTCGGGTGGGTACAAGCAACTTTATAAGTCTTCCTGAATTGAGTGTTCAAATTTTAATTTATGGCTTTAAATTATAAGATTTACGAAAATACATTTATGAAGCTATAAAATCAAAAATACCAACTTGTACATAATTTTGAAAAGCAACTGAGTCCCACAATCTCTCTCATCTTTCCTGACACTTCTATTTATTCCACTTAATGATCTTACATGAAATGTCAATAATATTTTATGTGATTTCATTGACAAACTGTTCAAAAATGATCCCGGAAAATACCAATCCCCCGTGTCGGTCGTAAAAAATAATTTCGGAAATTCTTGAAAATCTTTTCCGATGAAACGATCCAGTCTGAGAACAATAATCTTTCCGTGCGTGATGTAAAATTCGGAGAACCGAAGGCTGGTACCCGTCAAACTAATGAAAAACATAAATTCAATTCATGTTTACAGCCACGTTTGAACCCTCGGGACATGTTGACCTTTAACTTTGTAACTAAGAAATTCAGATTGTTTTTTTTTCATTTTTATTTATGCCCACATTTGGCTAGCGTAGCTTTTTTCAGTTTGTTAATTGGTTATGTCTTATTTTGATGACAACAATTAAGAGTTTCAGATTTGCTGACAACGATTCAAGTGTTCGTACGAGTTGTAGCTTCTTTCCCTGTGGGTTGTTGTTCAGCCATCATCGTCCGGTTGTCTATCATATATCATGGAGGGGGGAATCCTCAATGAGTGACCACATTTTGCTCGGGGGACCAGCATGGTCGTCATGATAAATGGAGAATTGATGGAGAACCACATAGGGTCTGGTTTGGGCTCCCTTAATTTTACTCCCTACCCATGCCTTTGTCCTATGGGCAATTAAAAAGTGTTAAGATAACAAATGCCAGCAACAACTGGGACATAAAGAACAGAGAGACTGCAGCTTTAACTCGCAACGCTTTCGGCTAATGACTCAAGTCTGAAGTCTGGAGGAGTCTGTGAGTCGCACTTTGGCTGTGAGTCAGCGGCAAAGCGCTGCCAATCAGCACAATGTCAAGCGCTTTGCTTTCGGCCCGGCCCAGACTGTCCCGTCTGTCCAGTCGACCATCAAGATTTACAATCATCCGTCCCAGCTGCTGGCCAGAATCATCAATCTCCGCCGGCGGACCGCTGCGTGGATCAAATTTATGCGGCTAGCCTAGCTGAATGTTTACAGCACTTAAACCTCTGTAAGCGGCCGAGTGGAGCTGCGTTTGACTGATTGGGTTTATGGCTGGAATCGGAATCGGTATCGGTGGGTCTGCGCGCGGTTCGGTTGAAGATCCCATAAAAGTGCAGTGAATCTTAATTTATGAATCCATGAGGAGCGATAATAGATTTCAGAAAAATCTGTTCGGATGGTGTGGTGTCGAATGTAACTGGTTAGGCAATCTTTGATCTTTGAATCGCTAAGTAGGTAATCCGTTTAAGCCGCTTAGATTTTAATCCGCAAAGTGACATAATTCGAAAATGTTACAACTGATTCGAAGCGTTAAGAATGGGTAGATTATACGATTAATAAACGATCTGAGACATCTATTTAACCTCTATAATAAAATTAAAGCATTTCAGTTATTTATCTTATCTTTTCTCATGTAAACTCTTTCAAGTACATAATTAAAGCGAAAGTAAATTCTGTAACCATATGGCAATTGTGCTAAAACTGAATTATCTTAATTGAAAACAGTATTTTATTGACCTAGCTTTTGTTTTATTGTAAACCTCCTCAAGTGAAATGCTTGAAATCAACGAACAAAGAACTCTAAGACTTGAAGTGCTCATCTCAGCACTTGACAAGTGGTAAGCTCTGGCTTATAAAAGCGTCCAAACAAAGTGCTTTACCCTAAGTATTTCCTTAGTATTATTTATACTATTATTTCCTATGGACTTACCCGAGTATCACTAGTTCCCCGTAGCGCAATCGCGGTTTGTCATGACCATCGCCACCGTCTTCAGCCAGAATGGGAGATTCAGTGCCGTCGGTGCTGCAAGTGAAAATGGAAAATGGGATTGAATATTAAATATTTAATGGAATTGCACATGGTTATGGTTTTCATTTTTTGTTTGGTAATTTACACAAAGCCTGGAAACTGCTACAACTGCTAGGCCATTATGTTATGCAAGAAAAGGAAAACAATAAGGGAAAAGTTTTCTTAGAAGCAAAAGGGGGACAAAACAAAAAGGAAAACGGCTGCACAAAACTAAAGCAAAACAATTTCAAAGTAAATGCCAAAGAAATTGCTCATTTCCAACATCTCACTGGCACCCTTTTTCATTCTATATATATGTTACTTATATATATTTCTCTGCAACTTCTTGGCTTTCTAGAATTTCAAATGAGGAAATGGCTCCGCTCTGTCTCCGCTGCAGTGCACTAGGAAAAACTCTGTAGCACCAAGATATACATTCTGATAAATTCAAATGAAATTTAAATTTATTCATTATTTATTTCACAGTGAAATAATAAATATTTATTTTCTTTTATATCATAAGAATTTTATTTTATGTATATTTTTCTCCCAGTGTGATTAGTTTTCCCTTGGAAGTCTTAGGAATGTGCCACCTTCTATCCTGCCTCATGTTACAACTTGTAGGTAATCGCATAATTAGAGGGTTAATTATATCCCAAATTAGTGGAAAATTGCGTCCAATAACGACTTTCTCATTAGCATGGATGTTGGCCCTGTTTTATTTTTATTACATCTAAATACAAGTTTCGTCGTGGTTTTTTTCGGGCACATCATAAACTTATTTACGGCAATCTAATAAACCAGCATGGCGCCGGTCCACGCCCACTCACAAGCATGGCAAATGGATTTTTTTAATGTACTCTGCGGAAAGAGGTGCCGAAGGGGGTGCAAAGGGGTGCGAAGGGGTTGCATGGGGCTGCTCTGGGGTTGCATTGATTTTTGCTCGTTGCATTTAAACTTGCTCCCCTTTTGTGTGGGCTGAATGGGGCGGATAGGGGGTTGGACAGGGCGGGCGGTGGGTGTGACTCTTGAAATTGTGCAGTGCAGACAGAATTTCAGGGGGCGGTGGGGCGGTGGGGTGGTCACCCACCAAAGGGTGGGTGGTGCACACCAAGGTGAAATGGCAAATGCTCATCACTCTCGCCCTGTCTGACTCTCTGTTTGCTGGCTTCAAATTAGCGCTGCAACTTTGTTTAGATATGTACAGACATATCTGACTTGACGTACAGTCCTGTCTATAAGCCCTGGACAGCAAGCCGTCAACATTCGGAGCCTTAAAGTTAGTTAACTTGAATGAGAATAATATGAAGTTAAAGGAATTACTTTTGCATATAATAATATTGAATACATTTTTAGCATCCTAGACTGTTCCTAGCCCAAAAACCTTAGGAAAAATCGAAGTAAATATTAAAAGAAATTAAAACAGATTAACCTTTTGAGACCTTTATTCTCGTCCGCATGCTAAATTTAAAGTAGTCTTTAAACCTTGAAAATGTATGGGAACTCAGAGTTTAAAGAACACTTTATATTCTTATTATTACCTACTAAATATCCAAACTCATTAAACCCTAAATTAATAGGCAATCAACAGGTTTGATGTCAAGGAACTTTCAGCTAACATCACAGCATTTCTCACAGTAATGATAATATTCATTACTTGCCGCAGCCGGCATTAATTATTCCCCCATTCACCCCCCGACAATGGGACCACCCACCCGGCAGCAGCATCACAGAATAAACTGGGTTAAATTGATTAAGCCTAGCATGATCAATAATAATGAAAGTTTGTCATTTGACTGCTGTCTAAATTGAATTCAATTAACAAACCAAGTTGAGGGAAAACAAAGGCAAACAAAAATTCGAGATGTGATCAAAATTGGAATCGGGGTAAATATTTACACAATATGCGTGTAGCCATAAGGCTGGTTCCGGAATCCCCGCCATCTAAGGCCATCATATTGCACAACATTCAATTGAAACATTTTCCATTCCGAAGTACCATTCCCCAAAGGGTCTGGCTGAGAGAATTCATTAACAAATCGCATAAATCTTGATTATTTGATATAGGAGTTTTGAGGGTTTCACAACCCCCATGTCCCATTCTCTGCGTGACTATTTCACATGCAATCAGCTGTGCTCTCTGCCATCAAAGAATTTATCGATTTTCAAAGCCAACATGCCACTATTTGCATACATTTCAATTTCAAAACTAAACCAAGCACATTACGACAGGCCAACCAAAAAAGCTGGCAAAAAAAGAAATACATTGAAAACATGGTGCGCTATAAAAAAATTCACTTACACATGGAGTTACTCACAGATACTAAAAAGGGGCATCCATGAGATACGATATCTTTGATGGCGCGACCCCAGTGTTTGTGCTGGTATTCGTGTTTGCACTTGTATCTGTGGTGCCGGCTTCGGTTTTGTACTTTTGCTGTTGTTTAGGGAAATCAATTTTCGTGTCTGTGTGTTTAGGTTTACGCTGCACTCGGAAAAAATAGTGTCTTTTAATATGTGAAAAAAAAAATAATCTGAGTCTTAGCAGGAATAGTTCTAATCCTAAATTAATCCCAAATTAAATAGAAAATATAGTTCTAAATCAATTGATTTTTTTCTGATACATAAGGGGAGCTATTATATTCATTTTATGACAAAAGGTTCTAAGTAAAAACGTAAATATTTAAAAATTCTTAGAAAAAATGGATTTAATAGATTTTTCTCCGAAATATTAGGCGAGTTGGCATTGTCAATTTATGATGAATAAATATTGAATATTTAAAAGTTCTTAGGTATAATAGATGTTATATATTTTTCTGTGAAATATTTGGGGTGATCTGTCATTATTGCGAGTGTAGAACTGCCTCTGGTATTTGTGGGGAAATGGGCGTAAAAGTGTATTTCATTATGGGTACATAGGTACCTCCCCGTTGCATGACAGTGCTCTCTAGCATCGATTTTCGCTCGTTTGCCTTGCGTGCAACCGGCCCAGAACGAGACCCACAACAGACCGCTCCATAGTTGGCCGACACAATCGCATTACAATAAATTTTCAAACTAACGCAAAGGGCAAACACTTCCCCCCGCTCGATTGCATGTTAAAAATGCTAAATGCAAAATGCTGAAACCTGCAGCAGGACCCACCAACGACCATCAACCATTTACCATCAAGGGTATACCCAATAGGGCTGTGAAATCAGGGCGACCATAGGCACACAGACCATAGAAACGGCCACCAGGGCAACCACAACGGTTTAATGTCACGGGGTCGCCGCTTATGCAAATTAATTTGATTATTACACCAAAGTAACCCACGTATTCGCTGCATTCATTTGATTAGCTCGCCCACCTGAGCCCCCTGCCGCAAAATGAGGTCTCGCAAGGCTTTTAGCGTCTCGCTGCACCTCTAATTGAGTTTATAGGGGGTGGTGTGTCTGCGGATGACAGGGTCTAATGTGTGAAGAGCAACAAGCGAAAGGTCAGCTGGCATGGAAACACAGAAATCAATTGTGGAGAGGGAGAATAAAAGTTCTTGACTTAGTTAGGGAATATATAAGCTCTTAAGGAATTCCCAATACATTTTTAATATGAAGTTGTTTCCTATTAAGATTTTTTATCGTTGTTTAAAATGATTAAATTTAAAAATAAATGAAATTTTAACAAGCCAAAAAATATATATTGAAACAAGAAAGGAAGCTAGCTTCGGCAAGCCGAAGCTTATATACCCTTGCAGATCATTCTATTAATTTACAAATCGCAAAAATGTTAAATTTCTTATTATTTCACATTAATTTTTCGATCGTTTCTATCACAGCTATATGATATAGTAGTTCGATCTTTTAAAAATTAAAATCGAAATTCGGAAATATTTCAAAATAGTCATATCCCAGAGTAGAAGGGAATGTAATAAAAACCAACAAAGATATAATTTTTTTCCCATTAATTTTCATTTAATTTTTCGACCGTTCCTATGGCAGCTATATGATATAGTGATCCGATTTAAAAAACAAAAAAACCGAAATTCAGAAATATATAAAAAAAAATATTCCCAAGAGTAGAAGGTAAAATTTTAAAAAACACCGGAGCTAGAATTTTTTTACGTTTTTTTTTTTTTGATCCTTTCTATGGGAGCTATAAGATATAGTTGTCCGATCCGGTTGGTTCCGACATATATACTACCTGCAATAGAAATACGACTTTTACGAAAGTTTCATCCCGGTAGCTTTAAAACTGAGAGACTAGTTTGCGTAGAAACGGACGGACAGACGGACGGACAGACGGACGGACAGACGGACGGACAGACGGACAGACGGACATGGCTAGATCGACTCGTCTTGTGATGCTGATCAAGAATATATATACTTTATGGGGTCGGAAATGTCTCCTTCACTGCGTTGCAAACTTTTGACTGAAATCATAATCAAATAAAAACACCTCTTAACGAGGTAAAAAACTAGTGACGACCGCACCTTCAACATACAAAAGTTCTGATATCAACATTTGTGACGAAAAATTATTACACTCGTCATTAAATAGACTTTCTAATCTTTTCTCATTCGGCCCGCCCTAGCAGACTATTCCAGCCTTTTTCCCTTCACAGGCATTTTCTATTGCAGCGTGCCGAATAAAAAAATATTAGAAAGTCTATTTAATGACGAGTGTAATAATTTTTCGTCACAAATGTTGATATCAGAACTTTTGTATGTTGAAGGTGCGGTCGTCACTAGTTTTTTACCTCGTTAAGAGGTGTTTTTATTTGATATCAGAAGTTTTTGTTTGTTTACATTTGCTCTCATAGGAGCTAATATATACATTTAAATTTAAATTGGTCAATCATAATTTGTAAGCCATTGTATTTAAACAAATTAAGTTAAAAAGTATTTCAAAATACCTTTTAAACGAGGTATGGCACATGTCTGTACCTTTAGTAGTGTAGAACTTACAAACTAACGAAATTTAGCCATTTTTAGCTTTTTTCCCGCTAAAGTAGCGGCTTTTTCCAAAAGTCGTAGAAC